AAATATCAATTAATATATGAAGGTAAATGAATGCTTAGCACAAATATCCATCACTATCATAAGGTTTATTAAATAAGTCTTCGGCAAGAGATAATGTTTTGCGGTTAATAAGCCACTGAAGCCGATAATACAATTCAACTAATGGACAGTTCAGGGAATGTATGCATCTAAATCGTGTAATCTCAATCGGATGAAGGTACAATCAGCGAGCTGCTTTTAAAATCCACGACACTGAATAAATGAATCGATGAAAACGCACGTTTCATTCTTTTTCACAATTCCAAATTTGCGTTCAATGTAAAAACAAACGAAGGACATCGCTGCCGAAATGAACATCAACGTGACAGCAATAATGAACACCGCCAGGTAACCCAAATCACGGCGGGGTATTGATGGCAACCGAATGTTACGCAACTGAAACAAACACTGTTCGACGTATTTTTGCAGCATGAAAAGTGAAATTCACAAAATTCACATAGTGAAAACTGAAGACGCAACTGATCATTCGACCGTTTTCCGGAAAAAATTCACAGAATCCTCTTAATTCGTTTCGGTTGGAAAGAGAACACAACAATTCGAACGAATCACCTTGAATGTGCGTCGTTTACGATACTTGTAAAGACACAACTCACAAATCGGTGGACGTTTCAACTTTCGCGAACATATACTTAACCAATGCTGAAAGCTAATAACTGTATTTGCGGACAAAATGCCCAAACACTGAATTAAATTCTAATGATAAGAGCTTATCTCATCTACATTAATGAAAGCAAGTGCTAAATCAACTCATTGACGGTAAAATGCTATTGAAAATTTCACAATGTTAATAATTAATAATGTTAATATTAGTGTTAATAATAATAATGTTAATATAACTTCGAAGAAATGTAGATGAAACATAAGCGAGCGAATGAATTGGATTTTCAGCGATATAACCGTAACATACTAAAAGACAAGACATATGGACGAATTGAAGAGTTCCAGAGCAACGACAAGGTGATATGAGTTGATCGTCAGGAGTGGACGGGCAGTGACATATACGGCAGAGTCGTTCCGAGCTGATCTCTCGCGAGATCGACCTCGTACTGCAGTTGCCCGCGAACGAGTGAAACGAAGTGTCCAACGAACCAAGTGTTGACGATGTTTCCTTCATAAAACAGATATAATATCAGTGATTATTGCTTGTACCAATCTTTTATCATAACATTTTTGTGCATCACACTTCATCATCATTAGTATGAGTTGAGAAATTTAAGTTGGCAATTCAAAAACGCATCTGGAAAATGATAAATCCGAGTAATTTGGCGATGACTCAAACTAAACATCGATAATACGGATCCAATGCGTTAAAATCATTCTGCAATAGTGATATGATCACTTGGGATCATTGAGGATATTTTCCACAAACGAACTCCTTTCTTCTTACATTCAACTGTTCCACTACCCTAACCATTTCATTCAGATATCTATCTATCTGTGAAACTTCTGGGTTAAGTGCAACTTTAAAGTTAGTTCATACACAAACATGTAGCATAATAAATGGAAGCGGGGTGAAGCATTGAAGTAAAATTTGTGAATGGCGTTAATTTGACACATATTTCTATTGTAATGATTCGTTTTGGGTTAAGTATAACTTCTGAGTTAAGTGCAACTTTAACGACGATTCTTCTCAAATTCTTTATCATCCATGATGCAATTTCATGATGCTTCTCAACCTTACTCAATGAAATTCAATTTTTAAGCCAAAATATGAACCTGAGCAATATGTCTACAACAAGTTCCATCCAGCAAAGGTCGTCCTGCACAGACCTCGCATAAAGCACCCAAACTCGTAGGATATTCACCGTATTGCACCGTCCAATCTGGATCACATTTCTCAGCGTATGTATTCTCGGTTGACGACACGAACAGTTGAGTTTGATTGTTCCATTTTGAACATCGATCACATGAACACTCGTCCGTATCGTTACCGTTATCAATTTCATTATCGCGGATATCACCGATGGTGTTCTTATCATTACAAGCGCAATCCCTTTCATAATCCCTCCTGTCCATTACTTTCGTACTAAGAGCGATATCCGATTTGAGCATTCTTTTCTTCTCTGTAAATCAATCCTCTTCAGTCATTTATCTTTCGTCTTCCTTTCTTCTTGTTACCTTCAACTGTTCCACTATCCTAGTCTTTTCATTCACGATCAGATATTTAGCTGTGAAAATTCTGGGTTAAGTGCAACTTTAAAGTTAGTTTATACACAAATATGTAGCATAATAAATGGAAGCGGGTTGAAGGATTGAAGTAAAATTTGTGAATGGCGTTAATTTGGCACATATTTCTATTGTAATGATTCCTTTTCCCTAGGGTTAAGGCTATACACTTGTTCATTCGGAAATATCGATCTACAAGAGAAATCTTTTGAGACTGCGAGATTTTGAGATTTCGAGTGACGCCTTTTAAGTGAAAGATTGATTACATTTTATTGAAAACTGCTAGCGATGGTGAGCATAGTTACTTTCTCCCACGTTGCTCAATAGATACTCTTTGCCGAGAAAAAATATCACCA